GTGTCCTGTCAGGAGGCATTCAGGCAGAAGCCAGCCATCCATAGGGAGTTCTGTGTTTGGGGCTGGGGCTAAGGCTAACCTCAAAGGTGGGCCTCTTCCCACCCTGGACTGCATGGGTCTGTGCCACTGGGAGGCCGAGGACCTGGAGCCCAGCTACTCCTCGGCCACGTGCTCTTGTCTTTGCAGTCGGACATGCTCCGGTCCTTGGCCACCACTCGGCCCACCGTGAATGCAGAGGACCTCCTGAAAGTGAAGAAATTCTCAGAGGACTTTGGACAGGAGAGTTAAAAGCGTCTTCACTCTGGTGACCGTGAAGGTGGGAGGTTGATTGGGGTAAATTCATGAACTCCCTGTGTCGATGGCCAGACAGGGCTCCAGGGCTCATCCTAAAGTCACTACAGTGTCCCCTCCGCTGCCTGGTTGCTAGCTGAGGCGCAGGAAGGAAGGGGCTCCCCTGCCGCAGAGACGCAGAAGCACATTCGGCACCCTGGTGGAATACTGGCTCTTCCTACTTCCTCCTCCCCCGCTCTGGATGCTCACCAACTCCTTGTCCTGCTCCTCCGTGGTTTTTTTTGAAACCTTTTTTTTTTGTTCCCCTAAATTAACGCTGCTTGGATTTTCATCTTGTTTATAAAGTTAAAGTCACCTGGAAGCATCGAGTGGGAACAGCCCTGCTGTGGGGTTGGTGCTGCAGACCTGCAGAAGTCCCCACAGCCTGTTCCTTCTAGACCCAAGTTTTGCTCCTTGTGAACAGAATGGATGGTGCCCTGGGTCCCTAGGCCAGGCTCTGCCTAAAAAGGCCGAGTAAAGCCGAGCCGTTCGAGCCCTAGGTCAACATCTTGGGCCGCGTCCTCCCTGCAGGAGGAGTGCTGTTTGCGAGCGCCAAGCTGTGTAGGTCAGAACGAGTGCAGGCAGCCAGGCGGGTTTCACTGCTGCCTTTTCTTCCCTTTAAATGTGAGAATACTGAACCCAGCCACTGCCCCCGGGTCCCTGTCCTGGAAATGGGCTAATAAATCCTTTTCCCTTCTCGAACCACCTGAGTGATCTCATCTTTGACTCTTGTCTGGGGCTCTTTGAAGGCCATGCTTGCTTCCAGTAGAAAAACCCTCCGGTTTTCTCAGCTGTCTTCTCTTCAGCAGAGTAGGAGGAAGTGGGAATGTCACCACCTGCCACCTTTTCTAGGCCTGTATCGTCAGGTTTGTGAGACCTTTTTCCCCAGAGCCTCTGAAGTGTGGCCAGGAGTGTTCGAGGCACCTGGCCAGTTCTTCCCGTTGTCCAGCCTCCAGGTCAGCAGCTCAGACTGGGAGGCCTGTGGACCAGATGTGGCTTGCAGTTGTTTGGTTTGGTCTGCCTACAACATTTAAAAATCAAAGACAGATGTAAAATTCAGATTTCTGCTTCCGAAAGATTAGGTATTGCTGGGCCTGTATCCACATGAGGCAATTTGTGCGCTGCAGCTGAGCAGGGGTGGTCCTGTTCAGAAGGGGACATGCTCTGCAGCCCACCCATCCCCACATGGACTTTTCACCCATTTGCACTGCCTGCCCAGCCCCTCTGACCATTTGTGACCCCCGTGAGGTACTCAGGCCCTGGAAATGCTGACGTGGAGCAGAATAAGCAGAGGCTGTCACATTACCACAGAATATGAATACACAGAGGCCTGATACTGGTTGCTCCAGCCCTCTTCCCCCTCCCCAAACTGGTATCTTCAAACCAGAATGGTTCAGAACTAAGTACGTGGCCGACTCTTAGATGATGGTAGCCTTGCGCTGTCATTGGTTCTTTGATCTGGTTAGGTGTGTCTGCTGAATCAGCCAACTTTTGCTTGGTTTCTTGAAGGCTTGGGCCCAGTGTTCTCCCTTGCTGGTAAGTTAGCCCTGCCTTGTTACCTGGACCATCAGCCAGCGTGACCACCAGATGGCACTTAAGCAACTATGATTAGAAATTTTGTCATTTGCTCTGGAGCTCCCCCATAGTCCTTGGTTAGCTATGTGCTCTGTTTATAAATGCTGAACTGGAAGCCAGGATAGGACACTGCCCCCTGCCTGTACTGGTTCATTTCAGCTAGTTGTCTTTTCTTATTCTACCTCTAATTACCTTGAATCAGAAGATCCTTTTTTTTTAACCTGCTTCCTCATTTCCACTGCTCGAGCACATCGACAAATCACAGGAGTTAACAGAAACTTTAGGACTGCTGTGGTTCATCCTCATAGTTCTAGTCGCAGCTTTCACAGACGCCCAGTGAAGCCAAACTAACCTTACACTGACGGTGTGGCCTCACCGTCTGTTATATATGGCTAATGTGTGCAGAGGAATTTCCTCCCCTAAATGCTTACTCTGAAATTCACATCTTCCCTACCTGGAATTCTGTCAAACCTGCCTACACTGGCTTTCAAAACTTTCATTAGCTTAAGATGCTGATTTGTGTGTGTGGTTTTTGTGGCTGATATATCTATCTGAGGTGGAAGGGATTTTCTTTATTGGAAATGCAAGGATTTGTTGCCTTTGGGCTGTGGTGTCTTGACTAGCTGTGTGATTTGGTTACACCAGTAAATCTCATATTCTCAGCAACAGAGATAGTCTCAGGCTTTCTTCAAGGTCCACTCCGAGCAATCATTTACTTAGGCCTCCAGGTCAGGAAGCTGGAGGCGAATGCTACTGTCTACATTACGAAGGCGTTACTAAGGACTGTTAACCTCAGAGCACTGTAAGGAAGCATCGGAATGTCCTGAGGCCTCCCTGCAGGAACTTCTGAAGTTGCCTAGAGCAGGGGACCCAAACACCCAGACCAAAGATGGGGTACCTGTGGCCTGTTAGGAACCAGGCAGCACAGCAGGTAAGCAGCAGGCCAGCAAGTAAAGCTTCATCTGTATTTGCAGCTGCTCCCCAGCACTAGCATCACCGCCTCAGCCCCACCTCAGATCATCAAGCATTAGATTCTCATACGAGCACCAGTCCCTGGTGCCAAAAAGGTTGGGGACCGCTGGTTTAAAGGAAAGGCTAACTGAATTCTAATTTTCATAATGACCCATGTTTTCAATATAAATGAGAGCTTCCTACAGAATTCCCCAATAGCTAAGCATCTAACCTCACCTTGGGGCAGTGCTGTCCTGTTCCTCTCCAGTCTGATGCACAGAGAACTCGTTCACTTTTGCTTGGCCTCATAGGCCCCCAGACGTGGCCTGTTTAGAGAAAGCCATAGAGGACAGTGTGTCTTTCCTGGGTTCATTTAATTAACTGCTGTTTAAAACACCTTTCCCCTAAACAATTTACTGTACTTCTTACTACATGGGAACTTGGATTTTGAGGACTTGATAAGAGTACCAGTAATGCAAAACTCAACATAAAAGTGAGCTAAGACAAGTACCTAAAAAAACAAGTTCTTTCACTCCTTAACAAAGCTCTAACAGTATCATAAAACACTGACCAGTGTAGTGCTAATTTATTTTTCCAAAATAAGTGTGGTGACCAGGAAGCACAAGTTCTGCTTTCTGTTTTATCTTAACTGTGACAGAAAGAGGCTCACTGACTCCCTCTCAACTATCACCCTTCCCCTAGTACTGCTCCATGAACCAAGTACGAGCTGCTCAAGAGATCTCAGCAGAAAAATCTTCCCCAAGTCTGTTAAAGGTGGAAGGCAAAATACGGAAACCTAAACTGTATCTGAACCTGTTTAAATGTGTGGGTACTCATTTATGGTAATACTGCCACTAACCACTTCCACGAACGGGGGCCATTCTGTCCTGTGTTTACTTCCATAAGCACACTGGCTTCCAAGGCAGAGATGGACTGTGGGCAAGACACACAAATTCCTTGTAAAAATAAGAATTTGATAAAGGTCAACCACAGCCTTAACCTGCATTTTTAAACACGGCCTTTAGGTATTTGGGGACTACATTATTATCAAATCTTGGCTTTGGGAACAGATCACACAGGTCTTATGAAGTTGTATCTACTGAGAGTGGTGTATTTATCTACTCATCTCCACATAAAATTGCCAGAAAATGTCCACTCCTTTAGAGGAGTTACTTTTAAGATGAAGGTGGTATGTCATAGCTCATTTCAGGGCAGTCGTTTTTAACATCTTCCTCCAACTCAGTTAGGCATGCTTTGGCAGTCCACTGTTTTCTGTCAGTTGAGCCAATACCAAGTCAATGCCAGGTTAAGACATGCCCACCTCAAAGCTGAAGTGTTCGTGTCCTGGTTTTCAGAATCCTCAGATGCAGCAAGAAAGCTTTAGTCATTCACCTCCATCCAGTGGATGTTTGTAAATGTCTTGCTATCCATTTTGTCAATGAACAGGCAACCCTGCAAGTGGTCCATTTCATGCTGGATGATGCGTGCTGCCCATCCACTTGCCTGCCACATCACCTGCTTGCCTCCAGGGTCCAGCCCTGCAAAGAAAGTAACAATCTGGGTGAGGACATGCTGAACTGCATCATTCTCCGCCACCTTTACCCTTTCCCTGTGCCTGGCTGTTATTTACAAGAGGCAACATCAGAAGGATTCTTAGAAGACCTTATCGTCCCTAGAAAAGATGCCTCAACTCTACCTATCACCAAGTAATTTCCAACTCTGACAATTAGGGTGCTGGGCTTACTATGGGGCTGAGATGAGAGAATGATCTTCTTAATAAGGTGCTTCTCTTCTGAACACTCCTGTTTGCTTTCAATTCCTAATAAAAGTATTTCAGCTTGTACAATATAAAATAAGGGATACCACTGCCTTTCTGACCCTCATGGACCAAGTGGCTAGCTCAGGAGGAACAATCACCCCAACCCCTGCAAAGAACCACATTCCACAAGACATCCTGTTTTATGACAGACCAGAATGGTTTGTTACCCCTAGCTGGGCAAAGTAGGTCCAATTTCTCCCACTCTACCATGACAGATTTCATTGGAGCAGAAGCATGAGAAAGGCACAGGGCAAGCGAGAGGGCATTGAACAGAAGACCAGGTACGAGGTAACAGTGGAACAAGGCCATCCTCCCAAACCCCCGCTCAATATCCCCCCACACTCATCCCCCACTTGAGCTGGCTGTGCTCTCACAAGAGCTTCCTTCCCATCCTAATCTGTCAGTCCTGAGTCCAGTCCACTCCCAGGTCCTGATCTTTCTTTATGCCAGAAGGTTCCGCTGATCTGCCATCAACGTGTCTGCACTTGAACTGGAGCTTTGCGGACTTTCGTGGGACCCAAGGCGGCGGCCGCCACAGGCAGGAGAGACGCACGCGTTTACCCAGCCGCCCCAGTGCCTCTGCCACCCCGCACCTGAGATCTGCACGGCCTGGAAGCGGGGCACGCAGGCTAGGAAGCCCGCGACGCTCTCGCAGCCCTCGGGGAAGGTGACCAGGCGGCTGTCCAGCACCCGTAGGCTAGGGTTCACGAACACGCGCAGGGGGAAGGGCTCCATTTGGCGGACTTCGCGAAAACGCGGCGCGCAGGCGCGGAAGAGGGCCTCGGGGAACTCCAGGGCTAGCACCTGCAGCGGCACCCCGAGCTGCGGTGCGCTCAGGCCTACGCAGCGCCGGCGCCGCATCACCTGCACCAGCCGCTGCACCAACTGCTGCAGCTCGGGCCCCGCCAGCTGCGCCGGCTCTACCGGGGCCGCGACGGCCCGCAGCGCCGGGTCCCCGACCTGGCACACGTGCAGGTACGGCGGCTCGGGCGCTCCCTGCACCAGACGCCGCACATAGCTCCAGTAGGAGCGCTGGCGCGCCGGACCCTCTTGGCCATCGGGGGTGGGGGTGGAGCTGCAGGTCCGGGTGCAGTGGCCCGCAGCCTTCTTTCCCCATAGCAGGGCTGGCCCCACGAAGTCACGCGCCCGTGCCAGTAGGGGTCCACCCATGGTGCACCGGAGTAGAGCCACCCGCCCGGACGCATTCCTCCCCGGCCCCTGTAGCCGAGCCCTCCCGCCGCCAGGGACGCCGGGAACCGTAGTTCCCGCGCGCCTTCTGGGAGCGCCCGCCCGCCTACAGAACGCTGCCGGCCTCTCGGTGACGTCAATTGGCTTTATTAATTCCATTTCTTATGGTATGATCAACCATTTACAAGAGTGACCATGAAGTTCTCCCTTTAATTTCTTCTCAAGAATGCCTTCGCAGCCTCTCCCCTGGGGCTGTCCCATGTTTTCCGAGGCGAGGCAACTCTTCTTCCCATCAGATGCTTTAGTCTCTGGCCGCCTAGGTCCTGGATGCCCTGCCGGGTTCTGGGAGCCGGGAACGCCTGTTAAGTGCCTGCACTAGGCACATCGGCCTGCAGTGGCTCCTCCGATTCAACCTGCTCCTGTCCCTCCTCAGGGAAAGCCAGAGTGACGGGCTCGAAGCTTGATTCCTTGGCGGGGAGTTCTGTTGCTGGAGCTGTGAGCTCTGGCACTGGTTCCTTTTCATCTAGACAGAAGACCTCTCTCTTCGGCAGAATAGAGGCCAGAGGCTCCTGGACAACACCGATATTCACGTGCCCAAGGTTTCCGTACTTGGAGAGCTGAGTAGGTGGAATGCCTGACCCAAATGGTAGGCAAAGTGAAATGGGAAAAAAGTTAAATGTAAATACTGATGTCTCACAGGAAAAAAGAAACTTAGAAGTAACAGACACAATTACCACATTTCAGTATACTGTCATCTTTGTGATATGGGACAGAAAGCTGTATTGTAAAAGCAAGACTTTGAAGGTAACGTGGAACAGTGTAGAGTGAATGGAGTAAGAGCCAATACAACCTCAGTAGGCACTGACTTCCCTGTGACAGGCAAAGTAAAAGGTAAAAGCTGGGGATAAAGTAGTGAGCAGCCACTCTGTGCTGGTATGATCATTGGCCCACTGCCCTTTGGGCTAATTCTCAATTCCCCCACTCCCCATTCCCTCCCCAGTCTCACCCCAGGTGCACTGACAGATGGCACAGGGAACTGAAGACAAATTGGGAAAAATAGTTTTAAAACATCTTCTCTGGACATTTCATCTAAATGGACGCATACAATATGTAGTTCTTTTGTGACTGGCTTCTTCCACTTAGCCAGATATATACATATTGTATGCGTCCATTTAGATGAAATGTCCAGAAATGGCAAATCTATTGTATCAGGAAATAGATTAGTGGTTGCCAGGGACTAAGTGGGATTGGGGAATCACTATAGTGGGCATGAGGGATCTTTCTGGGGTGGTGGAAATGTTCTAAAATATGATGGCGGTAATGGTTGTACACCTCTGTATATTTACTAAAACACATGGAATTTTCCAAATGGGTGAATTATTTTGTATATAAATTATATCAATAAAGTAGTTTTTAAAATCTTTTCTCCTCCCTTTCTCTTACCTAAGGTCTGTGCTATCTGAGCTGGTGGGAAAAGGACTTGGAGACAGCGATTTAAATAAGGAACGAGGTCCTCCAGGAAGACAGTGCAGAACTGGACAAAGAGCTCTTGCTCCCCACTGTTGAAGGCGGCCTCTTCAGCACGATGGAAGGCCAGGGTTACTTTGGTTACCTAAAAGACAGCAGCACACTCAGTCATTGGGGTAGTCTATCACTATCAGCAGTGCATGAAACTAAACAATGTGCAGCCCTCAAGTTGTCATGAAGAAAGTCAGTCCAAATAGTTCATTATATTGCTACCTTTTTTAAATTCAGAACTGTGGTCACTCTTTACTGTCACTTCTGTCACTTACTTCATTGATGTAGTTCTGACCCAACTTGTTTCATTACTGGAGCTTTTACAGTTCCAATGGAAGAGTATCATGAAATTAAACAGAGAATACATGGTTCTTGACTCCCATGGAAGATGGACCAGAACTACGCTGGGTCTGGGAAAATGAAGCAAAAACTATAAAAGGTTTTTACTGAGTAAGGCCTTGAGGTTACAGGAAGCTAGACCACTAAATTGTAAAAGAAGCAAACAGCTGGAAAAGAAGTTCCATATACCAATAACAGCAGTCTAGCTGATGCTACAGACAGGTGTCATGGTAACAGGGCTCATAACACACTCTGGTGCTAAACTTCCTGGTTCAAATCCTCGCTGTGCCACTTACTGGTTCTGTGACTTCCAAGCGATTACTTAAGCCCTCTGGCCTCAGTCTCTTCACCCACATCACTGCATGCGGGGTCCCAGGAGGAGCCCTAAAAACTCCCATTTGAAAGTAGCACAACAGATCATTTTCCTTTATTCTTAGTACACAGTTGTTTATGAAACAACTTTAAGTATAGTTTTGTTACCTAAGCAATTTTTTTTTTTTTTTTCAGTTTTAACAGGATCAGCAACAGGACTTACCTCATAGGTTTGTGAGGATCAAGTCTTAATATGTGTAAAGTATGAAGAACACTACCTGGCATAGAGTAAGTTCTATGTAAATATAGCTGCTTAGTATTACTTAAATTTCATTGACTCAAGCTTCAGTGCTCATGCTTTCTTGCTCCTATTGGAGGATATCAACAAAGATTTTATACAATCAAGTCACAACTGCCACCTGGCTGACAGCAATTATAAGATGTCATCAACTGTAAGAATCATCCCAATGTCTAAAGATTTAAATGTGTAAAAAATATGCACCGCACTAAGATATTAGAAGCAGTTGTAGTATTACTTGTTTTAGGCAGAATTCTAAGATGGCTCTGTGATTCCTGTCCCCTGGCATCTACTCCTGTCTTAATCAGATGAGCCTTTTAAAAGGAGGTCGAGGACTTCCCTAAAAGAGATTGTGCAGGAGAGATGCTCTTCCATTGGCCTTGAAGAATCAAAAAGCCACAGTATGAACTGCCTAGGGCATGAGGCAGCCTCTAGGAGCTGAAGGCCTCAGTCCTACAACTGCAAAGAACAGAAATCTGCCAGCATGAGTGAAAGCTCTAGATGAGATCACAGCCCAGCTAACACCCTGACTGCAACCTTATAAGATCCTGAGCACAGGACCCAGGAAAGCTGTGCCTGGACTCCTGAGCCACAGAAACTGGGAAATGATAAAGGCCTTTTATTTTAACCTGCTATGCTTGTGGGAGTTTGTTATGCAGCAACAGAACACTAATACATTACTGAATCATTATTGTAGGTGAGCCACTTCATGGACTGTTTTAGGTCCTATGAAGGGGGACTAATCAGAGCTGCTCAGCCATTAAAAATCTCTAAAACCAAAATAAACCTCTGAAAGTCAGCAGGCACCACTGTCATATGGACAGTTTATTACCAAAGTCTGGCCTCCTGTAGCCAAAGGACATCCCAGTAGAGAGCCAACAGTATGTGCTCACCTTGGCAAGGGCATCCTCGAGGGTCACAGTCACATCCTGTGCCAGGGCTATGGGGCAGCAGAGGCGCAGATCATTGAAGGCGACCAGAATATTGTTGAGGAAACAGGCAAGAGGTGGGAAGTCTAGGAGCACCATGGGCGGCTGCAGGGTCCCTGGCTGAGTGACTGGCACAGCAGCAGGCAGGTTACTGCTGCCCAGGATGGCTGGAGCCGAGATGAGGGTGTAGGAGTTCATTTCATCTTGGAACTTCTCCACCGCTTCCTGAATTGCTTTCTGAAAAGTACTGATGGCAACTCGCTGGAAAACAGGAGCCAACTGGCCCCGGAAATCAGCCCCTACCCGGCTGAAAGACAGCCCGAAGTACATGCACTGGCCCAGTAGAGAGTCCAGGCGGCCACCTATCCCCCGGTGAAGGTCGGTTTCCAGTACCTGCAGGAACTGTGACACTTTCTGCAGCACCCACCCATGGAAGATGGCACTCTCATTCACAGTGTGCTCACCTGTGGCAGGGGACAGCAATGGGTCCTCATCTGAGAAGATGGCACGGTACTGGGTGATGATATCAAACAGATGGACACGGCAGGCCTCAATGGTTTTTGTGATGTGGAAATAGGGATCATCACTGGGGATGGAAGTCAGGATGGAACGGAGCCAAGCATCTCGGGCCTGAAGAAACTTGACCCTCAACTCAGCCTCAGTGAACACATCCATGCGCCGCAGGAAGCCAATGACACGGAGACAGGCAGGGAGCTGGATGTTGGTCCTCAGTTGCTGGATCAGCTGGTTCAGCATCAGCTGCATGGACTGGCGCACTTCATTCACAATGCCCTGACAATGCAGAGGGTGAGTCACACCACACTGGGAAAGACACTCCCTGGAACCCCATCCACTAACCCTGAATATTGCAGACCAACATTCCCACTGCTTTCTTGACATATAAAGTAGATTTCCTAAAGTGTATGTGTACAGGTTCATTGTGGCTTGCAGGCGCTGCCTGCTTCTCCTGTCTCTCCTGCTCTTTAACGCTCTCCCCTTGCTCACTGCAGTCATCACACTGGCTGTCTTTATACTTCTTAAACACTCCAACTTCCCTCCTCAGCCTGCTGTACTTGTTCTTTCCACTTTCTGGTTTGCTCTCTCCCCACATCATGTGGCTGGCTACCTCTCATCATCTGGGTCTCAGCTTAATTGTTCTCTCTCCAGAAGAGCTTTTCCTGACCACTCTTCCTAGAGTAATCCACCCTGGTCTCCTTCTACCCCATTCCCTAGTTTGTTTTCTCTAGGCACCACTATCTGAAAGGATCACATTGGTTTACTGATTTATTTGCCAACTATCAGCTTACATTCATGAGAGCCAGGGCCTTGTCTGCTTTGTTCACACTGTATCCCCAGCACCTAGATCAGTGCCTGGCACACAGATTAATATTTCTCAGTTGAATGGATGACTGTATAGTTTACGTTGAATCCTTCCTGGCTGACAGAAACTGATGTGAAACATGCAAGGAGTTTCCCCACTGTTTCTTCCTAAAGATTCAGTAATGACCACAGAATTACTGATTGCAAGAAATCGGTTTGAGCTCTCTGGGAAGGCTGGCTACCTGGATGACAGGGATGGAGGAGTACTTCCTTTCCAGTCGGCGTACATAGGCTGCAAGCTCCAGGGCCTCTTCATAATAGCTGTTGCGGACACAGGTGTCCATCAGCTGAGGAATCTCTAGGATTTCCAGGATTTCCGTGTGCCGGTTTAGAGAAAGGGTGTTCATTCGGCGGTTGGAGCTGATCTCCTCAGCCTCTTTCACAAAGTTCCTAGTAATAATCAGGGGAACGTTGGTTACTCACTGCTATGCACCCAAACCTTAACTATAATTACCAAGCATTTACTCTGAACTGGGCACTGGGCTGGATGGTTTATGATTTAATCTATGAGGTAAGAACCCTTGAGGAAAATTTAATCTCAGAGAGGTTAAGCAACTTGTCCAAAAATCACAAACTAATAAATGATAAAAAGATTTGAACCCACATCTGTCAGCTAGCTGTGGCAGGGTACCTAGGCTCTTTCTTCTGTTTCCTCATTGGTAAAATAGTAATAGGACCCACCTCATAAGGATGTAAGGACTATCTGAGATATTGTGTGTAAGGCATTTAACACAGAGCCTAACAGAGTAAATGTTTCTTTAATAATAGCTAGATTTATTATTTTCATAATAATGAACTAACTAGCCTAGAGGCTACAACCTTACCCCCAAGTTCCCTCGGCTTCTTAATCCACTCCTATGCTCTTGTTCAACCTTAGTTTCCACCAGAGTCTCCAGTTCTTCTCCATAATGGCAGAGATCTGCTTTATGAAGTCCCCTATCTATTCTAGGGGGTGGAAGGGTACAAAAGCTAGTGTCAAGTATCCCAAGACTCAAAAGAAAACTTAAAACTTTCATCATGAAAGGCTGGAAGGCAGAATTAGGGATAATGGATTGAGGATCCAGGGAGGCAGAACATGGCTTTTCACAAAGGAGGGAGTTGATAGTTTTTGCTACTCCCAAATAAGATTTCCTTGACAGCTTCCTATCAATCAAAGTTTGGGAGCAGTTGACTTCCTATCTGAGCTACTGTGTGGTTGTGTTGTCTACGCGTTTATATATATTTACAGAAACATGCACATATATTAAGCTGCCAATTGTACATTAAGTATGTCACACCCAATGATAAGTGCTTTCCATAGATTCTCACTGAGTGCTCACAACAGTCCTATGAGGGGCGTGCTGCTGGGTTCCAATTCTGGCTTCAAAACTTAGTAGCTGTGTCCTTGGACAGTCACTAACCTCTCCGTGGTTCAACTTCCTCGTATATAAAATGGGGAAAACAGTACCTACCTCAAAGGCTGTTGTGAAATTTAAATGGATTAATAAAATGCTCAGAGGAGAGGCTGGCACATGGTAAGCGCTAAGTGTTAGCTATCTCTATCATGGCAAATGTCAGCTTTTACAGTTGTTACAGCCCCTTTAATGTCAGCCCCTTTAACGCCGGCCCGCCACACCTGCAGCTCTGCTGGAAGCTGGGCAAGCGGTCCAGCAGGCAGCCAAGTGACGCCTCCACGTCGCCAAACAGGCGGTGGATGCGCTCGGTGCACTCGGCGCCGCGGATGAAAGTCTTGTAGTTGGCGAAAGCCAAGTCGCGAGTCTGCTGCAGCAGCTGGGCCCGCTCCTCTGCCAGGCGCTCGGGCTCACGTCGCAGCCGCTCAAGCCCGGATCCGCTCAACTCCCGGAGGTAGCGGCCCACGTCGGGCCGCTCCCGCCACTGGGCCTCCGGGAACTGGTCCCGGAACAATGATGCCAGGAGCCCTTCGTCCTCCACCTCTCCGAGAGCCACTGCGGTGGCTGTGGCAGAGACCGAAGTTGAGGATGGAACTGTCGCCATCGCCGCCATTTTCCCGGCAGCAACGTCACTTCCTCTCCGACCTAGAGAGGGCGCTGGCTCCGAATCTAGGACAGGAAACAGCAGGGGGACGCTTTCGATCTCTATGGTTTCTTATCCGGCGGCTTTCTTTCCCCGACGGTCTTCTCGGCGCTGGCGTGGGGAACCAATGGGAAGCGAGTATAGAGGCGGGCTTTGGGTTGCTAGGGAGCGGCTTGCGGCTGACTTCCGTTTCCGGTGAGTGAGGCACGAGGATTCGGTGTTCCAACAGCGGGAAAATGCGGCCTTTGACTGAAGAGGAGACCCGTGTCATGTTTGAGAAGATAGCAAAATAGTAAGAGTGCGCGGGGCCGAAGAGGGAGTGTGTGTATGCGGGAAGGGGCGCGGGTGGAGTGGGGCGTCGGGCCAGAGCGTGTCGGGTCGGACGCGGCCTCCAGTCCTTATTTTGCCTGCAGCATCGGGGAGAATCTTCAGTTGCTGGTCGACAGGCCGGACGGCACCTACTGTTTCAGGCTGCACAACGACCGGGTGTACTACGTGAGGTGAGGCGGGGCCGGGTGGGCAGCATGGACCCGGGTGGGGACCTGGGTCCCATCAGCGCCCTTATCTGACACTTTCCTTACCTTTTTAGTGAAAAGATCTTGAAGTTGGCTGCCAACATCTCTGGTGACAAGCTGGTGTCGCTGGGGACCTGCTTCGGAAAATTCACTAAGACCCACAAGTTCAGGTTGCACATCACAGCTCTGGATTACCTTGCACCCTATGCCAAGGTTTGTGGGGTGGTTTCCTGTGGGCCACTGGGGATGGAGGAAGTCAGAGATGAGGGCCACCTCAGAACACAGATGATTGGGTAGCTTCTCCACCACGGAGTCCTGAATAGTGCTTGGTGTCTGCCAGCCCGTGGACATGCTCTAAGGCCTTGCTTCTTGGATATGGTTAGGGCTCTGGGGCAGGAGGGCTGTGTGGCTGAGTAGTGATAATTATCTCCAGTAAAGTAGGAAAGCCTGTGCAAACCCAGCTGAAGATCGAAAAACAAAAAAATATGTGGCTGTAGTGAAGAGCATAGTGGGGTCCAGGAAAAGAACTGTTAAACTATCCATGGGAGAAGTTGCTTGTAGAGTTGAGGAAAGAACCTCTTGGCATTTCTGTTTGCGGGGTGAACAACTTGAGGGAAACATGCTTTTCTTTTCTTTTTTTCTTAAAATTCTTTCAAGAAATTAATCACAAATCCAGTAGTTAGCTCATTTGTAGGGATATAACAATTAGCATTTTTATGTTTTTTGAATTTAATTCTCTTTTTTATAGTACAAAGTGTGGATAAAACCTGGAGCAGAGCAGTCCTTCCTGTATGGGAACCATGTGTTGAAATCTGGACTGGGTCGAATCACTGAAAATACTTCTCAGTACCAGGGAGTAGTGGTGTACTCCATGGCAGACATTCCTTTGGTGAGTACAGATGCTAGCTGTTATAAAAATAAAGTATCTTTTTATTCAAGAAGGATCTATTTTTAATCTGTGTACTTGAGAGACTAAATTCTCAGCACCTTTTGATTTTCTCAGAGAACTGTATTTTTTCATCTTTGTTATTTCCAGACCTCAGTGTGTGCTTTTGAATGACTCGAGTGAATCAGTGTCTCTTCTTTTGAATCCCAGGGTTTTGGGGTGGCAGCAAAGTCTACACAAGACTGCAGGAAAGTAGACCCCATGGCGATTGTGGTATTTCATCAAGCAGACATTGGGGAATATGTGCGACATGAAGAGACATTGACTTAAAAAGAAATCATCGCAAGGACTTATGGCTGTGTAGAAGGGCCTAGCTTTGTTTCCTGTGTCTGTGTAGGCGCCACCATCATGTTGAATTTTGTCAACACTGTGACCTCTTCAGGGACTTTTTAGTTTAACATTCTATTATGGACAAATGCAGGCTGGATTCTCATTAAGCAGAAATGGCTCAAGTTTCTGAACTATGTGACTAAATAGAATAATGTGTTTTATGTTTGAATCATAGGGCTTCTTGTTTTGAGTAACAGGTTCTAAATCACTGGAACTGAGAACAAGAATAGCTTGTTACTGTTATCTGTGATAACATTTTCCAAAATTCATGATAAGAATACAATGGATTTTCTTAATTATTTATTAATATTATGAAAGATAGACGTTGCCATATCAGAATAGTAGGCTATGTCTGGGCTTTTAAAAATGAAATTTGGTTAAAATAATAAGAGCAATTTGTTTTAATTTTCTATATGGTAGGTGCTATATGGTGTGGATAAAAACTTGGATTCAAACCCTAGTTCTGATACATACCAGCTGTATGTTGCCTTAGATAAGTCATTAAACTTCAGTATGTTTCATTTTCTTTATCTGTTTGAAAAAACATCTTTAACCGTCTACCTGAGAATGGTTTTTAGAACTGAAAACCACGATTATAAAGCACATAGCACAATGCCAGGCAAATGATGGGTTTTGAATAAATGGTAAGAATTATTTTTATGTTGCATGTACCGAGTATTTCTGTTACTAAGAATAGGATCTTAGTATAATTTGATTATATTATCTTTGGTTTTCACAAGCTATTTTCTCGATCTTTTTCTTGGATGGCGTGATTTCAGGTTGAGCGTTATTTTTATCACCTTGTTTTCCTAAAACATAATTTTCCATATGAACCTTTACTTACTTTACTGGAGTGGACAAAAGGCAATAATCAGAGACCCTGACAATAATTCAGCTCCCCCCTTCCCCATGCCTCCCGAAATCACTTTTAGAATTATTAAAATACTTTTTAAAAATAAAAAACATTCTAGACAAACATTTTTTAAACTGCCTGTATTATAAAACAATTTCTCTAATGATTATACTGCTTATTTTAAATTTCAGAAGTGACATCTCTAAAAATAAAACATTTTCAACTACAAAAAAAGCATTCTACCAACTCCTGTTTTGTATACAACATATAAAACTGGGTTTTATATGTTTTTATCCCATTTTTTTCAACCTTTTCCCTTCCAAGTTTCTGTGTTAACCTCTAAATAGACTTAGTGAAGGTTAAGGGACCACTGTATGATGAATAGTACTTTGGTGGTAGTATTTATCACATACTTTAGAAATAGCCAACATCATAACTTACACATTTTTATTCCTTTATTGACATTTTGCGTAGATAAGAGCAATAGACTGAAACTTTCTAAGAGGAGAAATTGGTTTTTTTCCCCAAAAACTTTATAAAGCTGATTTAACCAAATCTTTGAAAAAGCTGCCCCAGAAGAGCCAGATGCTGTAGTCGTTTTAGCTTAGCATCTTGGCTTCTTTGTGTCTGTAGTCGTTGGGACATTGAAGAGACGCTTCAAGAAATACAGCTGCATGATTCCAGAGAGAACAATAACAAGGCTCTGGGCTGCTGACCACCAGTTCACATAGTTATAGTTTGACTGGAGAAGGAAAAAGTCAGCCATTTTCCTCATGCGGGCAAAGTTATAATATCGCCACATGTGAAAGATGTTGTTCTGTACCTTTCGTGTACTTTCCTGTGGGACAGAAAATGAAATAAGCAGTGGGCTCCTCTGCACCCTCCATTTACCTTCACCTGGGCGTTCACCAGCATTAACCTCAGTTATCTGGAATTTGAGTAACATGATTTTACCCTATGTAATAAGTTGGCTATTGTAATTGTTGATAAATGGTAGTTTTGCTGCGTGTGAAAAAATGGCCTGGATTTTATTTTATTTTTTTTTCTTTTTTGTATAGTGAAGCAGTGCTGAAACTAGAGAGCTCTTCCAGGGTAGCTCTAGATTTTAGATAGTATTTAGCACGTCATTGCCTTTCTGGAGGATTTCTTCAGCTCTTTGTTTATAGTAGAAGACAAAGGTCTGCAAACTTGTTATTTATAGAGCCAGATTGTAAATATTTTAGGCTTTGCAGGCCATACAGTCTGCCATTGTAGCACAAAAGCAGCCACAGGCAATATGTAATTGTCAATGAGCATGGCTGTATTCTATTAAAACTTCATTTACAAAATAGGCAGTGGCCTTTTGCGCATCAAGGAGACTATCATGAAAATGAAAAGATATCCCACAGAATGGGAGAAAATCGTATATCTGATAAGGGACTTATATCCAGAATATGTAAAAAAACTTTTACAGTTCAACATGAAAAGCCAGTTTTAAAATGGACAAAAGATTTGAATAGACTTTTTTCTAAAGAAGATATACAAATGGGTTAAAACTCATAAAAAGATGCTCAATTTCATTACTCTTTAAGGAGACAACTGAAAATCACAAGATGCCACTTCACTAGGATGGCAGATAGAAAAACATGTTTGTGAGGATGTGAAGAAATTGCAACCCTCACTGTTGGTGGGAGTGTAAAATGGTTTAGCCACTATGGAAAACTAGTTCCTTAAACAGTTACCACCTGACATAGCAGAATATACTACTATACATGAAAACATGTTTAACATAAAAACTGGTATGCAAATGTTCATAGCATTATTCATGATAGCCAAAAAACAGAAATAACCCAAATGTCTGTCAGTTGATAAATGGGTAAATAAAATGTATATCCATATGATAGAATATTATTTAGCCATGAAAAGGAATGAGGTACAAATATATGCTACAAGATAGGTAACCTTGAAAATATGTTAAATGAAATAAGCCAGACACAAAAGGCCATGTTGTATGACTCCGCTCATGAAATATATAGAATAGGCAAATTTGTAGAGTCAAAAGGTAGACTAGTAAGTGATTGCCTAGAGCCAAGGAGCTTAGGGAAAGGAGAGTGACGGGTATGGAGTTTCTTTTTGAGGTGATGAAACTGTTCTGGAATTAGGCACTGGTGATGGTTGTAAGATCTTGGGAATATGCTAAAAAACATTGAATTGTACACTTTAAAATGGTAAGTTATATCTCAATTAAAATAAAACAGGCAGTGGGCCAGGTTTGGCCTGTGAGCTGTAGTTTGCCAACCCCTGGTATAAAATAAATGAGGAATTTCAAGAGCTCCAAGTCATAAAAGTTAAAGGCTTCAAATCCCTTTGTTTAGTTGGTTTCTACCCAAATGAACCCTTGGCTCAAATGATATCACTACCATATTTTTAATCTTTTCTCCAAATTTAAAATCAGTTTCTGTAGATGTTTCCCACAAAACAATTACCTCAATTGCGTCCAGAGTATCATTCAGTTGTGCTCTTTCATTCTTCTGTTTGTGGGCCATTTCCGGCCCCTCATAGAAGACTCCAAAATTGAGGTACACTTGCACAGAACCAAAGTGATTTTGCTGATTTTTTAGACAAAGTTGATAAAAACCTGTAGGAATCCGTAGATCATTACCAAATCTTGGTCTCCTGCCCCTTGTTGATTTCCCACCCTCTATATTCCCTTGGAGGTGTCTTTTCTCCAGTGTTAAATGTGCTGCTTTAGTACCTTCTTTTCACTTAGCAAATACGAAGATCCAGTTTTTGATGTGGAAGAAAGATACTTATCTTACATGGAACTTATTTTACTAAATATTATCAATAATAGTTGTTTTGCCAAATATTACAAATCCTATTACTGCAAAGAAAACTTTTCTCACTCTTTAATTTCTCACTCTATAATTCCCATATCTTATTAAGGAATTTCTCAACAAATTGCATTGAAATTAAGAGCATGCTGTTTACCTGCTTCTTGTACACCATTAGAGCTGGGGAAAGTAGGGAAAAAATTGATTTGCTGTGAATGAAAGGAACTATCCTGCCGGAGTAACTAACTGCAACATGACCTGTACAGGGACTGATGGATTGGGATATGGTACTGGTTCTCAACTAGAGTCGCCTCCCCTGTGTTGGGGGAGGGAGGAGGAGCTGGATGAGGTGTGGCAGTGCATTTGTCAAAATGATTGGAAGTTACTACCGGCGTGTAGTAGCCAAAGATGTTACAATGCTGAATATCCTGTGCTGTACGATGAAGGACTGTCTTATGCTCCTGTTGAGAAAATGTTGAGAAACATCTATTTTTCATACACGTGGCTGGTAGAAAGGGCAACTAAAACTGACTGGTGCTGTCCAGCGTGGGGACAGGTTCGATCTGGCTTTAGGAATTTTCTGGTGACCGGAGAAGTGCTTTTCTTGTAGAATATGGTTATTTTTCATGGCCATGTGTTTCCTTTTGTCCTGAGTCTGCCTTTTGGTAACTGGCTCAAGTATTCTGATGACTAGAAAGAGATGCTATTTCATAATAAATTGATTAATTGGAATTTTGTATCATAAATGGGTCTGTCTGTTTTGGTCACTTTCCTATAGTTTGGTGAGTTGTAGATGATGAGATAAAATTGAGCTTCTGGAACCTGGAGTTACAATAATTAGTTACCTGGAGACTCTGCCCCCAAACTGTCAGTGTCTAATGTCCTCGGCTGTTGGCAGTCTCCAGGAAAACTGGTTTTTGGTGTTAATGGCTAAATTTTTTTCCTACTGTTTCACCATCCCTATGTGAAAAAGCCAGGGCTTTTATATCTCAGGTACTTAATTATTTTCAGTACTTCATCATTTCAGCAATTTCAAAGAAACCCGATTATTATAATAGCTATGGTGGTGAAAACAGACCTGTTTCTTGGGTGGAGAAGTTAATCTGGCCCCGAACATTCTGAGAGGTTTCTATGAGGAAACCTTGGGGGGTATGTGCAGTGGCAGCAACATGCCGGTCATGTGACATTCCTACTGTCCGCTGAACCTGCCAAGACACATTAAAGAGGGAAAAAAGCCCCTGCTATCAAGAAGCCAGTTAAGAGGTTAAGATTGCTATCCCATGATCATCAGCATAGTGGTTCTTTTAAAAAAAATTTAAGTTATAGTTGACATTCAATATTTTATATTAATTTCAGATAGCACAGTGGTTCTCAAGGGATGGTACTGCCCAACTCCTGAGAATTTGAATTGAGACAGTGGTGTTGGGGAGTGGGGTGGGGAGGAACAGCAAAACTAAACATCCTGCAGTGTTAGAAAAAGTAGTGCAGGGCAGAAGAATTGCCCCAAATGTTAATAGCAGCCCTATTAAGAAGACATATCACAGACCATACAGCTGGTGTGTGTCAGCCGGTGAGTATGATTCTGGTTATAGAGTTCTTGACTGAACTTGCTTGGTTTTGAGCTCCCTGGTGTTGTCCCAAACTTGGACTTATTTGATGCTTGAGGGCAAATAAGGCACTCAGTAGCCACTTGTCACCAAAATGGGTCTTGAGAAGCCCAGGCTACAGTAGCTACTGTTTTATTTCAAATTTAGAGGTAAGAAAAAACTCTGATAAGTTAATTTAAAATAAATTTTGAGTTACAGAGTGTATACATACTCTATTATATATAAACAAAGATTAGAAAGTTAACACGTTTCTAAGATAAAGAACAAAGGAAATGAACAGCCTCTAGCTTTACTACTGGGCAGACCATCCTTGGGCACTGGTGTCGGATTACAGGATGGATGAACATACTTGGCCTATGAACAGACAACTTGAAAACATCTACCTTCCTAACACAAACAGGCTCGTCTGGCCAAATAGAGAAATCTTGAGCCAGTGATTCTCCAATTTGCCAGAATTACCCCTGAAGGCAACAGAGTAAATGTTCTTCCACCCCCATAAACCGAAGTGTCTTTCTTTGAAATCTCTGAATCTGTCTCTAAAGTTCATGTGACTTTCCATTTGACTTTGTACCAGATGCGTATTATTTTATAAATGTATTCTTTCCCCTCTCATCTCTAAATGTGATGATGACTCCTCCAGGAAAAGGCACCCTGTTTGTCCCATGCCTTTCAGCAAAGTTCCATAGCCCCTAGTTTTAGAAGCCAAGCCATATGTTTTAGTGATTATTCATCTGTTGAGAGTTTCCATCTAACTGCAGGTCCATTTCATTAACAGGTGGGGAATCACAGCATAATAAAGACAGTTTTGAGTTAGTCTAAAACCTGACCCACTTTACAAAAGGAAATAAAAAAACAAGTCCCTGGTATGGCCAGAGGAGCCCAGGTACCCACCTCATAACTGAAATAGAAGTATCCAGTCTGGTGGGCAAATTGCCAGAAGCATTCTGTGCCTCCTGGAGGGATCATGACTGCAAAGTCATTTCGGTCCGCTCCCCAGAAGAGCGGCTCCCCAGAGCCACTAAGGGGTTCGGTCTTCAGGCTCCTAGCAGAGGTCACTAGGGTCAGAACCACCAGTCCAGGCCCAACGAGCAAAGGGAACATGCTGGTTCCTGGAGACTTCTCTGCAGGTGAACTACCTGCAGCCCGGTGGAACCAAGTAGTGTAGATCACTGCCAGGGTAATTATTAACCCTGCAAGTCACACTTAGGCCAGTTTCAGGGCCACACACAGATATTCCATAATAGAACTGGCATGATAACCCCATGTTTGGCTCACAGGAAGTTTCCGCTTTCACCTCAAAAACTCAGTGCCTTACTTCATGGGTGCTAGGTAGAATCTACTAATTCAGAGGAGGTATTTCCATCCTTCCTTTTGGCTGCCATTTTTCAGTTTTCTTGCTTCTTAGGGATAAACATTGAATAAGTTTATTTATAGTCATCTGATTATAAAAACAGAAGTTGGCGAGGAGATCTTTTTCTCATATCAAATTGCTAGATGATACCTATTGTTCCTATAAGACATGGGGCAGCACCTGTTTTAGTGGACTTTCTGTCCAGTGCTACAGTTTAGAGGGCGAAGCACAGCATGGAAGTGTGTGCAGAAGTTAAATGGATGAAGAGAGTGAGCAAAAGACAGTGGTCAAACCCCTCCACTGATAGTCCTCATTCTGCTCCCTTCCATCTCACGAAACCCCTTAAAGACTATTATATTGTTCAAACCCTTGGACTTTCTTTTATCTATGACTTCTTTGGCACCTACAAGGGGAAAAAGGCTCATTGAACACCCAGTGACCTCATGGTCGGCACTGAGCTAAGAGATTTACTAGCATCTGACTTTATTCTCACAACAGCTCCACAAGGGAGGTACCATTACCTTCTGCGTTAGAGGTGAGAAAATGGACATTTGGAGATCCCAGTGGCTGGCTCACTGTCCCACAAGTAGAGCTGGAACAGCAGAGCTCCTGAGTGGGCCTCTCTTACCCACCAGGACAGTGTTTCTGCCAGTCTCTGAAGCCTGACAATGTCTAAATGTTTTTATTTCGGCCATAACCTTATAAAAACAAAACAGCATTAGCTTCTAACCAAGTGTTGCTTCAGAATTCATTGCATTGACTCCACGTGGTAATACTTTTAACTGTCACAAGCTAATTAAGCAGAGAACAGACTTCATAATTGTATTTGGTTCTAGCTGAGGCCAAATGACATCACAGCATCCTGAAGGCACAGTGGCCTGCAGCAGTCTCACTAAGGTGAAGATGGGAGAGACTGGTATCATTTCTCAGTACACAGTGGCACAGACACCCTCACCATCCCACCACTGCCATTGTCCTAATGCTGCTCATGTAATCAGCAGTGACTTAGATTCAGCAGAACAGCACACGGTAAGTTTTATAGTTCTATATTAGCTATAGGTTTAGTTTTTTGTTTGTACACATTTCAGTAATATAATAAAAACCCTGAAGTTCTTAAAAAGTGTCAATGGACTAGTGCATTTTTCAAATTTGAGAAATGTTGATTAGGATATTTTGCTTCCCTAGGTGCATCACAGTGTCACTTTTCTACTCAGACAGTCATCTTAATGATGTGAGAGTCAGGGGAGAAAAGCTTCTGGATCCTTTGGAGGGAAACCACAACTAGCTGCAGTGAGACTGAAAGGGGGTGGCTTGATTGAGAGATCAAGTTCTCATTGTAGTTTCATTTGGGATTAATTGACAGAAAAACAGTAGTACCAAACCCCAAAACAGGTAGTCAATGTGTAATAAAACTGTACAAAGTTTCCAACTTGTAACTATAGGATGAGCTTTAAAACTTTAGCATTTCTTTACATCTTTCACTCACTCAAAAGTGAGAAAGGGAAAATTCTTTTGGCCCCAGAAGTATGTTATATGAGGAAATGGACAAATTAAGAGGAATCTTTCACATCTCTGTTTAACATGGCTTTCACGGATTAGAACATCCAATACAGTTTGACATCAGCTTTTTAACATAGTCACGGTGGTTCAGCAAAGCTTGTTTAACATTTTGCTACCTCCATCTGTTCATACACGCTGTGCTGCAATTAAACAGCTACTTAAATTTGAGAGAAGCAAGACTTTAATGAAGAATGCTACAAGTTATGGACAATAATTAGTTCTATTTTAAAAAAAGATTACAGAAAACACTTTACTGAAATTTTTTTTTTTTTTTTTTTTTTTGCTAAAAAGACAGTCTTTAGGATGTCCAAGAGGGACAGCAAGCACAACACGGTACAAAAGGAGAGGGAAATGTTGAATTCCAGTGCAAGACACTAACACAGCACAATTAGGGAATCAGAAGCAATCTTTTCACAAAGAATGGAATTAGGCATTTATATTCAACCAGGATTTAAGCTTTAAAAGTCCAGCATAAGGAAGGGAACTGGGAAGAGAGAATGTGGGGTAGGGACGGACTAAGCTTATCTACAATCACCAAAAAACACACTGGTTCAACCACATGAGAAGTGGAGGTTAAACCTGCCTACATAGCCCAACAAATATTAAGAGCAAATGCCAAGGCAGTCAGGTCTAGGTGCTGACGTCATAACAGGCTAGAGTTTTTACAGGGACCCTGATTCCACCAGGACAGGTCTCAACCTGGGCTCATGACAGACGAAGTTCTTTTGCATTTGCATCGGAAGGCCAAAGCTTTCCCTGGAACAAGTTCACTCCAAATAATACTCACGTTGCTGGTTTTAACAGGTCATGGAGTCATCAGTGGCTACTAACCAACTCCACCATTCCCTAGGAGAAGGTCCTACTGATTACTGGGGATTTGAATTCAAGCAAACCACTAAAGAAGGGAAATACTAATGATATTCTGGCACTGTACAAGCTATCTGCCTGTCATCTCTGCCAAGTACATGGGATGGACTTGGCTTTGCTTCTCAGCTCCATGATCTCCAAGAGCGATGAAGTAGAACTGGTACCTCCCCCATGTCGGAGGAGGATGCCTAAAATTTTCATCCCAGCCCAGAGCAGACTATCAGGGGCTATTATTAGGAACCGTGCTCCTGTGAATTCTGTGGAAATGAAATCTTGTTTCAGTTCATGCCAAGTCTTTTCATGGTCCTCCAGCGATCCTTAATCATCACAGCTGTTCGGTTAACAAATGGGTAATTTTTAGAAATGGCAACCCAATTTCCTTCCCCGAATTTCTGCACTCCAGCCTTGACCCACTCACTTTCTTCTACAGTCCATTTCTGCAAAAGAAAACCAAAAGATTTATCACAACCTGTCTCTCCACTTATTCACATTTTCATACAGTAAAGAGGTAAACTCAAGAATCCTAGGAGAATAATCTGAACCTAAAAGAAGGATTTACATTTTTAAAACACAATATAGACAATAAGTTAACACTGCGGATTTGGACATTTAATAATTTTCAATGTCCTGCCATTCCATCTTCAACTAATAATCACATCTGTATTCATACTTCAAACGCGTGTGTTCACGGTCAGGAAGATGTGTCAGGTTTCTGTCCTAGATTTTTCTTCCGGAGAATAACTACAGTAAGCCTCACTTAACATCATCGATTGGTTCTGTGACTTGAAGTGAAACAATGTATAATGAAACCAATTTTACCATAGGCTAACTGATATAAACGAGAGTTAAGTGCATCTAATCAACATTATAACAAAGACATTGAATGAAAGGACGTTATTCGTTATTGGAGGACCTGCTGTTATTACTTTAACTTAATTTGGGTTATCAGAAAAACGCAAAAGATTTTTTATCAGATGCGTGGGTAGTCTATGAAATGTGGGTACTTATTTTATCTCTGCTCTACCCACACAACCAGAATAGATCAGAGAAAAGAATTTTAAATTACCTGCTTTTTGGTTACACTTGTTGTGCTCTCTTCATCTGATGCTGCTGGAAAACATTAAAAGTAGACATTTCAGAATTCACCTTTCTCTGTGTAAAACACAGACATATAACGTCCCTAAAGGGAAAACTTGATTCAAATTTCACCAACTTTGAGAAAAGAAAGGACATCACTAAAGGATAATTTGTTTTTGTCTTTTGTTTGCAAGATCATTTCAGCCCAGGAAAATCTGTATAAAGCAAATACTTTGCAAAAAAGCATTCAATAAATGTTGGTTAATGATGGATTTTGGGCTCTTTAGTAAAACTAATATTTTCTAAAATTACTGAGGGACTGTGGTATTTAAAACCCAAGCATATCTAACAGTTTTACTGTTTCATGCCAGAACTTTCAAATCCCTTGTCCTTTTATATAAGTAAAGTTAGGTTCAATTCCTTAAACAAAAGAATGGGGTGATAATTTTTGCTTCCCACTCCAACAGAGCATGGGAGATATGCTCAAGTTCCCTC